GGGCCCGCGGTTTGTATGACACCCCCGCCCCGCGGTATGTATTAAATGGGGGGGGGAAAACCCCCCCAAAAAAAACACAAAAACCCCCGGGGGGCCGGGGGGCCCGGGGGGTTTTTTTTTTTTTTGGCCGCTTTTTGGGGGGGAAAACCACCAGCCCCCGGTTAAAGTATGGGGCACCAGCCGCGTTAAAATTTTGACACCAGCCAAAACGGTATTAGTCCCCCCGGGCCAGGGGATTATTGGGCACCCAAACCAGCGGTATGTATGGGCACCCCGCCGCGGTATGTATGACCCCCAGCCAGGGGGGAAAGTATGACACCAGCCAGCAGTATGTATGACACCGGCCAGCAGTATGTATGACACGCAGCCAGCGGTATGTATGACACCAGCCAGCGGTATGTATGACACGCAGCCAGCGGTATGTATGACACCAGCCAGCAGTATGTATGACACGCAGCCAGCGGTATGTATGACACCAGCCAGCGGTATGTATGACACCAGCCAGCGGTATGTATGACACCAGCCAGCAGTATGTATGACACGCAGCCAGCGGTATGTATGACACCAGCCAGCGGTATGTATGACACCAGCCAGCGGTATGTATGACACGCAGCTTTCCTGATGTAATCGTGGAAATCACAGGCAACACTTCAGCCTAACTGTTTAAATTATGAAAATACCGTTTTAGTTCTTTAACTATGATTCTTATGCAAAGTTGTTGACCACCCTCACTCACCCTTACCACCCTCACTCACCCTGGCCACTCCCTGACCACCCTCACTCACCCTAACCACTCCCTGACCACCCTCACTCACCCTGGCCACTCCCTGACCACCCTCACTCACCCTGGCCACTCCCTGACCACCGTCACTCACCCTGGCCACTCCCTGACCACCCTCACTCACCCTGGCCACCCTCACTCACCCTGAACACCCTCACTCACCCTGAACACCCTCACTCACCCTGACCACTCTCTGACCACCCTCACTCACCCTGACCACTCCCTGACCACCCTCACTCACCCTGGCCACTCCCTGACCACCCTCACTCACCCTGGCCACTCCCTGACCACCCTCACTCACCCTGGCCACTCCCTGACCACCCTCACTCACCCTGGCCACTCCCTGACCACCCTCACTCACCCTGGCCACTCCCTGACCACCCTCACTCACTCTGGACACTCCCTGACCACCCTCACTCACCCTGGCCACTCCTTGACCACCCTCACTCACTCTGGACACTCCCTGACCACCCTCACTCACTCTGGCCACTCCCTGACCACCCTCACTCACTCTGGCCACTCCCTGACCACCCTCACTCACCCTGGCCACTCCCTGACCACCCTCAATCACCCTGGCCACTCCCTGACCACCCTCACTCACGCTGGCCACTCCTTGACCACCCTCACTCACCCTGACCACCCTCACTCACTCTGGCCACTCCCTGACCACCCTCACTCACGCTGGCCACTCCTTGACCACCCTCACTCACCCTGACCACCCTCACTCACCCTGACCACCCTCACTCACTCTGGCCACTCCCTGACCACCCTCACTCACCCTGGCCACTACCTGACCACCCTCACTCACCCTGGCCACTCCCTGACCACCCTCACTCACGCTGGCCACTCCTTGACCACCCTCACTCACCCTGACCACCCTCACTCACTCTGGCCACTCCCTGACCACCCTCACTCACTCTGGCCACTCCCTGACCACCCTCACTCACTCTGGCCACTCCCTGACCACCCTCACTCACCCTGGCCACTCCCTGACAACCCTCACTCACCCTGGCCACTCCCTGACCACCCTCACTCACTCTGGCTACTCCCTGATCACCCTCACTCACCCTGGCCACTCCCTGACCACCCTCACTCACCCTGGCCACTCCCTGACCACCCTCACTCACGCTGGCCCCTCCTTGACCACCCTCACTCACCCTGGCCACTCCCTGACCACCCTCACTCACCCTGGCCACTCCCTGACCACCCTCACTCACCCTGACCACTCCCTGACCACCCTCACTCACCCTGGCCACTCCCTGACCACCCTCTTTCACCTTGGCCACTCCCTGACCACCCTCACTCACCCTGACCGCTCCCTGACCACCCTCACTCACCCTGGCCACTCCCTGACCACCCTCATTCACCTTGGCCACTCCCTGACCACCCTCACTCACCCTGACCACTCCCTGACCACCTTCACTCACCCTGGCCATTCCCTGACCACCCTCACTCACCCTGGCCACTCCCTGACCACCCTCACTCGCCCTAGCCACTCCCTGACCACCCTCACTCACCCTGACCACTCCCTGACCACCCTCACTCACCCTGGCCACTCCCTGACCACCCTCACTCACCCTGACCACTCCCTGACCACCCTCACTCACCCTGGCCACTCCCTGACCACCCTCATTCACCTTGGCCACTCCCTGACCACCCTCACTCACCCTGACCACTCCCTGACCACCCTCACTCACCCTGGCCACTCCCTGACCACCCTCACTCACCCTGGCCACTCCCTGACCACCCTCACTCACCCTGGCCACTCCCTGACCACCCTCACTCACCGTGGCCACTCCCTGACCACCTTCACTCACCCTAACCACTCTCTGACCACCCTCACTCACCCTGGCCACTCCCTGACCACCCTCACTCGCCCTGGCCACTCCCTGACCACCCTCACTCACCCTGGCCACTCCCTGACCACCATCACTCACCCTGGCCACTCCCTGACAACCCTCACTCACCCTGGCCACTCCCTGACCACCCTCACTCACCCTGGCCACTCCCTGACCACCCTCACTCACCCTGACCACTCCCTGACCACCCTCACTCACCCTGACCACTCCCGGACCACCCTCACTCACCCTGACCACTCCCGGACCACCCTCACTCTCCCTGACCACTCCCTGACCACCCTCACTCACCCTGGCCACTCCCTGACCACCCTCACTCCCCCTGGCCACTCCCTGACCACCCTCACTCACCCTGACCACTCCCTGACCACCCTCACTCACCCTGGCCACTCCCTGACCACCCTCACTCACCCTGGCCACTCCCTGACCACCCTACACAAACCCTGGCCACTCCCTGACCACCCTCACTCACCCTGACCACCCTCACTCTCCCTGACCACCCTCACTCACCCTGAACACCCTCACTCATCCTGACCACTCCCTGACCACCCTCACTCACCCTGGCCACTCCCTGACCACCATCACTCTATCTGGCCACTCCCTGACCACCCTCACTCACCCTGGCCACTCCCTGACCACCATCACTCACCCTGGCCACTCCCTGACCACCCTCACTCACCCTGGCCACTCCCTGATCACCCTCACTCACCCTGGCCACTCCCTGACCACCCTCACTCACCCTGGCCACTCCCTGACCACCCTCACTCACCCTGGCCACTCCCTGACCACCCTCACTCACCCTGGCCATTCCCTGACCACCCTCACTCACCCTGGCCACTCTCTGACCACCCTCACTCACCCTGGCCACTCCCTGGCCACCCTCACCCACCCTGGCCACTCCCTGACCACCCTCACTTACCCTGGCGACTCCCTGACCACCCCCATTCACCTTGGCCACTCCCTGACCACTCTCACTCACCTTGGCCACGCCCTGACCACCCTCACTCACCCTGGCCACTCCCTGACCACCCTCACTCACCTTGGCCACTCCCTGACCACCCTCACTCACCCTGGCGACTCACTAACCACCCTAACTCACCCTGGCCACTCACTAACCACCCTCACTCACCCTGGCGACTCACTAGCCACCCTCACTCACCCTGGCCATTCACTTACCACCCTCACTCACCCTGGCGAATCACTAGCCACCCTCACTCTCCCTGGCCACTCACTAACCACCCTCACTCACCCTGGCCACTCACTAACCACCCTCACTCACCCTGGCCACTCACTAACCGCCCTCACTCACCCTGGCCACTCACTAACCATTCTCACTCACCCTGGCCACTCACTAACCACCCTCACTCACCCTGGCCACTCACTAACCACCCTCACTCACGCTGGCCACTCACTAACCACCCTCACTCACCCTGGCCACTCACTAACCGCCCTCACTCACCCTGACCACTCACTAACCATTCTCATTCACCCTGGCCACTCACTAACCACCCTCACTCACCCTGGCCACTCACTACCCACCCTCACTCACCCTGGCCACTCACTAAACGCCCTCACTCAACCTGGCCACTCACTAACCATTCTCACTCACCCTGGCCATTCACTAAACACCCTCACTCACCCTGGCCACTCACTAAGCACCCTCACTCTCCCTGGCCACTCACTAACCACCCTCACTCACCCTGGCTAACTCACTAAGCACCCTCACTCACCCTGGCCACTCACTAAGCACCCTCACTCACCCTGGCCACTCACTAACCACTCTCACTCACCCTGGCCACTCACTAAGCATCCTCACTCACCCTGGCCAACTCACTAAGCACCCTCACTCACCCTGGCCAACTCACTAAGCACCCTCACTCACCCTGGCCACTTACTAAGCACCCTCACTCACCCTGGCCCCTCACTAACCACTCCCACCCACCCTGGCCAACTCACCCTAGCCACTCACTAACCACTCTTACTCACCCTCGCCAACTCACTAAGCACCCTCACTCACCATGGTCACTCACTAAGCACCCTCACTCACCCTCGCCACTTACTAAGCACCCTCACTCACCCTGGCCACTCACTAAGCACCCTCACTCACCCTGGCCACTCACTAAGCACCCTCACTCACCCTGGCCACTCGCTAAGCACCCTCACTCACTCTGGCCACTCGCTAAGCACCCTCACTCACCCTGTCCACTCACTAAGCACCCTCACTCATCCTGGCCACTCGCTAAGCACCCTCACTCACTCTGGCCACTCAATAAGCACTCTCACTCACCCTGTCCACTCACTGAGCACCCTCACTCACCCTGGCCACTCACTAAGCATGTCTCAGGCTCAACCCGTGGTCTTACCTTCTTAATGCCTTGTCCTATGGTCTTGATAAATTCTGGGTACCTGAGAACCATCACCTCAGACTTGCTAGGCTTGGGAGGTACTACCACGGCTGGTGCCTGCGCAACCACCGGCTTCAGGGCCGCGGCAGCCTGGTTGATAGTCAGTTGACCCTGAAGATTAGCGTTGATGTCCACACCGGTGGGGGCGGCCACCCCTACTCCCACTGCGGGTCTGTTCACTTTGTTCAAGAGACCTTGCAGCCAACCCCACGCCCAGCCAGGGGCGGTGGCGGCTACGGTGGCGGCAGGAGCGGCAGCCACGGCAGGGGCGGCAGCCACGGCAGGGGCGGCAGCAGCAGGGGGGTTAACCGGGACATTAAAGACGCCGGGCAGCACGATAGGTTTCCCGGCAAGGGGAAGCAGTGGTGTCTGTAAAAACAGAAACACAGCAATGAAGGAGCACTGCAGGAGACCTACTGACTCATTCCAGACATCCTACTCCCATACACATTCCCAGTCTAAAGTGACAAACTAAACACTTCAGCGATCTTACCTAACAAACTGTTCCAGTGACCTTACTAGTGTGTACAATGAGAGATATTACTAGTGTGTACAATGAGAGATATTACTAGTGTGCACAATGAGAGATATTACTAGTGTGCACAATGAGAGATATTACTAGTGTGTACAATGAGAGATATTACTAGTGTGTACAATGAGAGATATTACTAGTGTGTACAATGAGAGATATTACTAGTGTGTACAATGAGAGACATTACTAGTGCGTACAATGAGAGACATTACTAGTGTGTACAATGAGAGACATTACTAGTGTGTACAATGAGAGACATTACTAGTGTGTACAATGAGAGACATTACTAATGTGTACAATGAGAGATATTATTAGTGTGTACAATGAGACACATTACTGGTGTGTACAATGAGAGACATTACGAGTGTGTACAATGAGAGACATTACTAGTGTGTACAATGAGACACATTACTAGTGTGTACAATGAGAAACATTACTAATGTGTACAATGAGAGACATTACTAATGTGTACAATGAGAGACATTACGAGTGTGTACAATGAGAGACATTACTAATGTGTGCAATGAGAGACATTACGAGTGTGTACAATGAGAGACATTACAAGTGTGTACAATGAGAGACTTTACTAGTGTGTACAATGAAAGACATTACTAGTGTGTATAATGAGAGACATTACTAATGTGTACAATGAGACATTATTAGTGTACAATGAGAGACATTACTAGTGTGTATAATGAAAGATATCACTAGTGCGTACAATGAGAGACATTACTAGTGTGTACAATGAGAGACATTACTAGTGTGTACAGTGAGAGACATTACTAGTGTGTACAATGAGAGACATTACTAATGTGTACAATGAGAGATATTATTAGTGTGTACAATGAGACACATTACTGGTGTGTACAATGAGAGACATTACGAGTGTGTACAATGAGAGACATTACTAGTGTGTACAATGAGACACATTACTAGTGTGTACAGTGAGAAACATTACTAATGTGTACAATGAGAGACATTACTAATGTGTACAATGAGAGACATTACGAGTGTGTACAATGAGAGACATTACTAATGTGTGCAATGAGAGACATTACGAGTGTGTACAATGAGAGACATAAGTGTGTACAATGAGAGACTTTACTAGTGTGTACAAAGAGAGACATTACTAGTGTGTATAATGAGAGACATTACTAATGTGTACAATGAGACATTATTAGTGTACAATGAGAGACATTAATAGTGTGTATAATGAAAGATATCACTAGTGCGTACAATGAGAGACATTACTAGTGTGTACAATGAGAGACATTACTAGTGTGTACAATGAGAGACATTACTAGTGTGTTCAATGAGAGACATTACTAGTGTGTACAATGAGACACATTACTAGTGTGTACAATGAGAGACGTTACTAGTGTGTACGATGAGAGACATTACAAGTGTGCACAATGAGAGACATTACTAGTGTGTACAATGAGAGACATTACTAGTGTGTACAATGAGACACATTACTAGTGTGTACAATGAGACACATTACTAGTGTGCACAATGAGAGACATTACTAGTGTGTACAATGAGACACATTACTAGTGTGTACAATGATAGACATTACTAGTGTGTACAATGAGAGACATTACTAGTGTGTATAATGAGAGATATTACTAGTGCGTATAATGAGAGCTATTACTAGTGCGTACAATGAGATACGTTACTAGTGTGTACAATGAGAGACATTTCTAGTGTGTACAATGAGAGACATTACTAGTGTGTAGAATGAGAGACATTACTAGTGTGTACAATAAGACATTATTAGTGTGTACAATGAGAGACATTACTAGTGTGTATAATGAAAGATATTACTAGTGTGTACAATGAGAGACGTTACTAGTGTGTACAATGAGAGACATTACTAGTGTGTACAATGAGAGACATTACCAGTGTGTACAATGAGAGTCATTACTAGTGTGTACAATAAGACATTATTAGTGTGTACAATGAGAGACATTACTAGTGTGTATAATGAGAGATATTACTAGTGTGTACAATGAGAGACATTACTACTGTGTACAATGAGAGACATTACTAGTGTGTACAACGAGAGACATTTCTAGTGTGTACAATGAGAGACATTGTTAGTGTGTACAATGAGAGACATTACGAGTGTGTACAATGAGAGACATTACAAGTGTTTACAATGAGAGACTTTCCTAGTGTGTACAATGAGAGACATTACTAGTGTGTACAATGAGAGACATTACTAGTGTGTATAATGAGAGACATTACTAATGTGTACAATGAGAGACATTACTAGTCTATACAATGAGAGACATTACTAGTGCGTACAATGAGAGTCATTACTAGTGTGTACAATGAGAGACATTACTAGTGTGTACAACGAGAGACATTACTTATGTGTATAATGAGAGACATTACTAGTGTACAATGAGATACATTACTAGTGTGTACAATGAGAGACATTACTAGTGTGTATAATGAGAGACTTTACTAGTGTGTACAATGAGAGACATTACTAGTGTGTATAATGAGAGACATTACTAGTGTGTACAATGAGAGACATTACAAGTGTGTACAATGAGAGACATTATTAGTGTGTATAATGAAAGACATTACTAGTGTGTACAATGAGAGACATTACTAGTGTGCATAATGAGAGACATTACTAATGTGTACAATGAGAGACATTATTAGTGTGTACAATGAGAGACATTACCAGTGTGTATAATGAGAGACATTACTAGTGTGTACAATGAGAGACGTTACTAGTGTGTACAATGAGAGACATTACTAGTGTGTACAATGAGAGACATTACTAATTTGTACAATGAGAGACATGGTTAGTGTGTACAATGAGACATTAGTAGTGCGTACAATGAGACATTACTAGTGTGTATAATGAGAGACATTACTAGTGTGTATAATGAAAGATATCACTAGTGCGTACAATGAGAGACATTACAAGTGTGTACAATGAGAAACATTACTAGTGTGTACAATGAGACATTATTAGTGTGTACAATGAGAGACATCACTAGTGTGTATAATAAGAGATATTACTAGTGTGTACAATTAGAGACGTTACTAGTGTGTTCAATGAGAGACATTACTAGTGTGTACAATGAGAGACATTACTACTGTGTACAATGAGAGACATTACTAGTGTTTACAATGAGAGACATTACTAGTGTGTACAATGAGAGACATTACTAGTGTGTACAATGAGAGACATTACTAGTGTCTACAATGAGAGACATTACTAGTGTGTACAATGAGAAACATTCCTAGTGTGTACAATGAGACATTATTAGTGTGTACAATGAGAGACATTACTAGTGTGTATAATGAGAGACATTACTAGTGTGTACAATGAGAAACATTCCTAGTGTGTACAATGAGACATTATTAGTGTGTACAATGAGAGACATCACTAGTGTGTATAATGAGAGATATTACTAGTGTGTACATTTAGAGACGTTACTAGTGTGTTCAATGAGAGACATTACTAGTGTGTACAATGAGAGACATTACTACTACTCTGTACAATGAGAGACATTACTACTACTCTGTACAATGAGAGACATTACTAGTGTGTACAATGAGAGACATTACTAGTGTGTACAATGAGAGACATTACAAGTGTATACAATGAGACATTACTAGTGTGTACAATGAGAGACATTACTAGTGTGTATAATGAGAGATATTACTAGTGTACAATGAGATACGTTACTAGTGTGTACAATGAGAGACATTACTACTGTGTACAATGAGATACGTTACTGGCGTGTACAATGAGAGACATTACTAGTGTGTACAATGAGAGACATTACAAGTGTGTACAATGAGACATTACTAGTGTGTACAATGAGAGATATTACTAGTGTGTACAATGAGAGACATTACTAGTGTGTACAACGAGAGACATTACTACTGTGTACAATGAGATACGTTACTAGTGTGTACAATGAGAGACATTGTTAGTGTGTACAATGAGAGACATTACAAGTGTGTACAATGAGACATTACTAGTGTGTACAATGAGAGACATTACTAGTGTGTACAATGAGAGACATTACTGCTTTGTACAATGAGATACGTTACTAGTATGTACAATGAGAGACATTACTAGTGTGTACAATGAGAGACATTACTAGTGTGTACAGTGAGAGACATTACTAGTGTGTACAGTGAAAGACATTACTAGTGTGTACAATGAGAGACATTACTAGTGTGTACAATGAGAGACATTACTAGTGTGTACAATGAGAGACATTACTAGTGTGTACAATGAGAGACATTACTAGTGTGTACAATGAGAGACATTACTAGTGTGTACAATGAGAGACATTACTAGTGTGTACAATGAGAGACATTACTAGTGTGTACAATGAGAGACATTACTAGTGTGTACAATGAGAGACATTACTAGTGTGTACAATGAGAGACATTACTAGTGTGTACAATGAGAGACATTACTAGTGTGTACAATGAGAGACATTACAAGTGTGTACAATGAGACATTACTAGCGTGTACAATGAGAGTCATTACTAGTGTGTACAATGAGAGACATTACTAGTGTGTACAATGAGAGACATTACTAGTGTGTACAATGAGAGACATTACTAGTGTGTACAGTGAAAGACATTACTAGTGTGTACAATGAGAGACATTACTAGTGTGTACAATGAGAGACATTACTAGTGTGTACAATGAGAGACATTACAAGTGTGTACAATGAGACATTACTAGCGTGTACAATGAGTCATTACTAGTGTGTACAATGAGAGACATTACTAGTGTGTACAATGAGAGACATTACTAGTGTGTATAATGAGAGACGTTACTAGTGTACAATGAGATACATTACTAGTGTGTAGAATGAGAGACATTACTAGTGTGTACAATGAGAGACATTACTAGTCTATACAATGAGAGACATTACTAGTGTGTACAATGAGAGACATTACTAATGTGTACAATGAGAGACATTACTAGTGTGTACAATGAGAGACATTACTAATGTGTACAATGAGAGACATTACTAGTGTGTACAATGAGAGACATTACAAGTGTGTACAATGAGACATTACTAGCGTGTACAATGAGAGACATTACTAGTGTATACAATGAGAGACATTACTAGTGTGTACAATGAGAGACATTACTAGTGTGTACAATGAGAGACATTACTAGTGTGTACAATGAGAGACATTACGAGTGTGTACAATGAGAGACATTACTAGTGTGTACAATGAGACATTACTAGTGTGTACAATGAGAGACATTACTAGTGTGTACAATGAGAGACATTACTAGTGTGTACAATGAGAGACATTACTAGTGTGTTCAATGAGAGACATTACTAGTGTGTTCAATGAGAGACATTACTAGTGTGTTCAATGAGAGACATTACTAGTGTGTTCAATGAGAGACATTACTAGTGTGTACAATGAGAGACATTACTAGTGTGTTCAATGAGAGACATTACTAGTGTGTTCAATGAGAGACATTACTAGTGTGTTCAATGAGAGACATTACTAGTGTGTTCAATGAGAGACATTACTAGTGTGTTCAATGAGAGACATTACTAGTGTGTTCAATGAGAGACATTACTAGTGTGTTCAATGAGAGACATTACTAGTGTGTACAATGAGAGACATTACTAGTGTGTTCAATGAGAGACATTACTAGTGTGTTCAATGAGAGACATTACTAGTGTGTACAATGAGAGACATAACTAGACAGGGAAATGTGTTGGGTACATCAGTCACGACTGATGGAGTGAAGGCGACAACTCCAGGCTGAGGGACTGATTACCTCAAATTTCTGCTCTTCTTCCACTGTATTGGACTGAAGAAGTCACTGGCTGACGAAACGTTTCCAGAATAAAGATTCCAAAATGTTGCCCAAGTGTCTCATTTATGAATTTTCCGGTTTTATAAAGGATTTATTTGAAGATGAGTCTTGTATGGATGGAGCCGAGTTTTCTTGACTCGTGTCTCTTGATAGTTCCTGGTTATGTTATATTTTTAACCCTACTGAGGAGTCGTGGTGTGTGAGCGGCCGCGGGGGCGCTTGTCCCTTGAACAAGTAGTTGATAATATAGATATAAAAAACATAAAAGGCAGAATACCCTGACTGGAACAATATACAAATAACCCGGACATAGGAGAGAAACTTACTACGACGCTTCGTTCCTATTTGGACCATTTACAATGTGCGGGTTATTTGTGTATGAGATATATTTTGAATTAATTCCTTGTACCCTACACTTGCCCCAATACATACGAATATTAAATACACACACAGAATGGCACTCACATTATGACCAACGAGGGTGGTAGTGCTGGCACCAGAGGCAGCTGGAGCAGCAGCGGCACCCTGGAATCCAGTGGCACTCAACTGCACCCCAACGTTGCCAGAAAGAGTGCCATCACGAAGAGTCTTGGAAGGCTTCCGCTTGCTAGGCTTGTCTTCAGGGCTGCTTCTCCGTCGGCCCTCCTCCAGGAGCTCCTCCTCGTGATGAGTGACGGGACTGCCACCGCTGAGGTCACCCTCCACCAATTCCTCCTTGACCTTAGTGACGGAGTCACTCCTCCTGCGACCCTCCTCCCGCGCCTCTGGTACTTCTGCAGTTGAGGACGATAGGCCGAGTACAGACACTGGTGGTCATGATGGTTTGCTTATTGGACTTACAGATTATCGATTCCGTAGAGGATCATTAAGGTTGATGAGTAAGACACATGAACAACATTTGGGTATCCTTATTATTGAAATGTTTCCTCTAGGCAGTAGTGTTCTTCAGTCCAGTACAGAGTCATCAGTGTAGTAGTGAGACAGTGCTCAGCCTGAAGAAGAGTTCACCTTCATGGAGCACAACTCTTCTCCAGGATGAGCGACTGACCGCCTTTAATACTATTTCTCCAAGGTTCATAGACTGATTACATCGTCTTCATTTCACTGCTGCCTCAGTATTTTACTGAAGTCTACTGTGTAAGCGAAACGTTTCAACAACAAAGATACCCACGTGTTGTACGTGTATGTGGTCTTACTCATCAATGATCGTTTTCGATCATTAAGGTCACATGTCACCTGTTCACCACCTGGTAAGAATACTTGAATACTTAAAAATAGGGATTAAAGTAAGCATCAGCGTATTTACACTGAGAGATACACTTTTTGGGTCACCCTGCCTCGGTGGGAGACGGCTGGTGCAAGTATGAGTAGTGGGGGGGGGGGGGTTGAAGAGGGTTGGAATAGTTTTAAAAATGCAGTATTAGAATGTGGGGCGGAAGTTTGTGGTTATAGGAGGGTGGGTGCAGGAGGAAAGAGGAGTGATTGGTGGAATGATGAAGTAAAGGGTGTGATGAAAGAGAAAAAGGTAGCTTACGAGAGGTATTTACAAAGCAGAAGTGTTATAAGAAGAGTAGAGTATATGGAGAGTATTGCGATTTCGTGAGTCAGTTATAAGTGTGAGGCTGGTGCAGCAACTCCAGCAGACACGACACATTGTAAATAATATGTCAGGCAGCATAACCACACTCACACATCCACACTTATACTATTATCATCATCATCAACATCACCATCATTTGAAGCATTAAACCTGTTGGAGTCATTCAGTACAAGGAATGGTGGAGGTTTGATCCACCGTTCGTTAATCGCGAGAAAGAGCAAGTGCACCTGAGAAGAACTATGATACAGAACATGGCTAAGTACACAGTTGTACAAACAATAATATTGATATTGATACCAGTCTAATGTAACTGAATGACAGTCCTCACAAAAATGTTAAATGTTGTGGAAGGGAAGTGTGACCCTCAGGATTACCTGAGGGGTCACAGGTCATCCTTGTACCTAGGCAGGGTGCGGTGAAGATCACCCCTAAAGTGGAAAGTAGAACAGACTCCGTGAGAGAAAGTGAGTGTGAGATACAGTGAGGCGTCACAGAGAGAGAGTGGGAGGTCACACAAATGGTAGGAAGTCCCAGAGTCCCAGCGGAAGGTCACGGACCCAGTTGCAGGTCACAGAGACAAGGAGGTGAGAGGGATCAGCACTGAGGGTCGGGAAAGGTCACTCACCAAATTGCTGACGAGGATGGTCAGCGAAGGGTAGGTTCCACAGCCAACCTACGCCTCTACCCTGCCCTATGGCTCTGCCCTCTAGCCGCTGCGCCTCCAACGGGTGCCCTGCCGTCCCCGCCGCCGCCGCCGCCACCAACATAAGAAGCCACAGCATCATCAGCTGCTCCTGCAACATAGAAATAACATAATATAATACATAGCAATAAATACGGACAAGTTGGTTAAAAACAGACGTGAGCAAACTTTATCAGAAGTGGTCAGGAACCGAAAAATAAACATATCCCTGTGCTTGCTGACACGCTTTTAACTACAGAAACAGTGACCCACGACTCGCAAGGCATTAACCACTACAGTGCCAGGGATAATACAGTGCATGAGGAGTCTAACTACACAAAGGAGAAAAGTAACATAACAAGCAGTTCTCAGTGGTACAAACAATCCTTCGTAGTGAAAATAAAATAAGACATGATCTGGATTCACATTGTTGACTGCAGACAACAGTGAAGAGACACCATGTAAAAGAAGCTTTTATTTGAGGCAATACTTCGCTCTGACTGGCGAAATGTGGATAATAAGAGTGTAAACAACTGAAGCGGAGCTTGAAGCCTGGACTAGTCACTGCTAAAACTAACATTGCTATTACACTTCCTTGCTAGTTTTAGCACTGACTTGTAACTGATCCATCCACCGACCCCTTCACTCCCACACTGACTTGCAACTGATCCATCCACCGACACCTTCACTCCCACACTGACTTGTAACTGATCCATCCACCGACACCTTCACTCCCACACTGACTTGTAACTGATCCATCCACCGACACCTTCACTCCCACACTGACTTGTAACTGATCCATCCACCGACACCTTCACTCCCACACTGACTTGTAACTGATCCATCCACCGACACCTTCACTCCCACACTGACTTGTAACTGATCCATCCACCGACACCTTCACTCCCACACTGACTTAATATTGTCCACTTCGTCGCCATACTAACCATATCTTACCATACTAACTATTGCCTGATTTCAGTAACCAACCAAATATTCCATCCACTTGCAACATTTGACACATTGCTCCCTCTATCCTCCCTATCATATACCTTTTCTAAATCCATAAGTGTAACAAATAGTTCCTTACTTTAAAGTATTGTTCACTTATGTGGTTCAGTGTAACCACTTGATCTACACATCTAATCTTCCTCACTCATCCGTGATCCTCCACTCTCATACTGTCAGCCTTGACTGTCTCTTCCAGTATCAATACTCACTACCAAGCTGTCTTGTTCTACCTTATTCATTAATACAAAGAAGCCATGCGTGATCTCTGCCAGTTCTCGGGTATTTTCCAACCTTTCATTGAAATATTGACTCCAAGAACCATACAAAGACTTGCCTAGCAAGGGCCGGTAAACCTGCTCTAGTCCTCCTTCATTCTTATGGTCTTATCTTCTCAAAACTGTGCCCTCACTTGCTTATAATATCTCTGCTTCAATCCGTCTGTCCGAGCTGCTTTACTCCCTTTTATTCTAAATAACAACAACAATAATAATAATAATAATAATAATAATAATAATAATAATAATAATAATAATAATAATAATAATAATAATAATATCTAGATAGTTGTTACCACTTGTCACTCAGCGAAACTCTCTGCCCCAAGTGGTAAGTAATAATGTTGTTTAAAAACCCTCCCAAACGATGTTTGTCTGTGTACTCACCTAATTGAGGTTGCAGGGGTCGATTCACAGATCCTGTGTGTGTGTGTGTGTGTGTGTGTGTGTGTGTGTGTGTGTGTGTGTGTGTGTGTACTCACCTAGTTGTGGTTGCAGAGGTCGAGTCATAGCACCTGGCCCCGCCTCTTCACTGGTCGCTGCTGGGTCACTCTTCCTGCTCCATGCGCCTTCATACCCCTTCTTAAAGCTATGTATGGATCCTGCCTCCACTACATCACTTCCCAGACTATTCTACTCCCTGACAACTCTGTGACTGAAGAAATACTTCCTTATGTCCATGTGATTCATCTGAGTCTTCAACTTCCAACTGTGACCCCTTGTTGCTGTGTCCCATCTCTGGAACATCTTATCTCTGTCCACCTTGTCGATTCCTCTCAGTGTTTTATATGTCGTTATCATATCCCCCCTATCTCTCCTGTCTTCCACTGTCGTCAAGTCGATTTTCCTTAGCCTCTCCTCGCAGGACATACCCCTTAGCTCCGAGACTAGTATTGCTGCAAACCTTTCCACTTTCTCTAGTTTCCTTACATGCTTGGCTAGGTGAGGGTTCCAAACTGACGCTGTATACTCCAATATGGGCCTAACGTACACAGTGTACAGGGTCCTGAATGACTCCTTATTTAGATGTCGGAATGCTGTTCTTAGGTTTGCCAGGCGCCCATATGCTGCAGCAGTTATTTGGTTGATGTGCGCCTCAGGAGATGTACCTGGTGTTATACTCACCCCATGATCCTTTTCCTTGAGTGAGGTTTGTAAGCTCTGGCCCCCTAGATTGTACTCCGTCTGTGGTCTTGTTTGCCCTTCCCCAATCTTCATGACTTTGCACTTGGTGGAGTTGAACTCCAGGAGCCGTTTGCTAGACCACTCCTGCAGCCTGTCTAGATCCCCCTGTAGTTCTGCCCGGTCCTCGTCCGATTGAATTCTTCTCATCAGCTTTACATCATCTGCAAACAGGGACACTTCGGAGTCTATTCCTTCCGTCATGTCGTTCACAAATACCCGAAACAGAACCGGTCCTAGGACTGATCCCTGTGGCATCCCGCTCGTTACAGGGGCCCACTCTGACACCTTGCCATGCACCATGACTCGCTGTTGTCTTCCTGACAGGTATTCCCTGATCCATTGTAGTGCCTTCCCTGTTATCGCTGATTGGTCCTCCAGCTTTTGCACTAATCTCTTGTGTGGAACTGTGTCAAACGCCTTTTTACAGTCCAAGAAAATGCAATCTACCCACCCCTCTCTCTCTTGTCTTACTGCCGTCACCCTGTCAATAAACTCCAGTAGGTTTGTGAAGCAGGATTCCAGTCCCTGAAACCATGCTGGCTGTTGCTGATAAGGTGCTCTACCACTCTTTTCCTGATAATTTTCTCCATGACCTTTCATACTATACACGTCAGTGACACTGGTCTGTAATTTAATGCTTCGTTTCTGTCTCCTTTTTTAAAAATTGTGACTACATTTGATGTCTTCCTTTCTTCCGGTAGTTGGCCTGTTTCGATAGATGTGTTGAAGATAATTGTAAGTGGTACACAAAGCACCTCTGCTCCCTCTCTCAGGCCCCATGGAGAGATGTTATCCGGACCCATCACCTTTGAGGTATCTAGCTCGCTTAGCAGCCTCTTCACTTTTTCCTCGGTTGTATGTATTGTGTCCAACACTTGATGGTGTACCCCACCTCTCCACCTTTCTGGAGTCCCTTCTGTCTCCTCTGTGAACACTTCTTTGAATCTTATGTTGAGCTCCTCGCATACTTTGCGGTCATTTTTGTGACCTCCCCTTCTTTATTCCTCAACCTGATTACCTGGTCCTTGACTGTTGTTTACTCCTGATGTGGTTGTACAACAGCTTTGGGTCAGATTTGACTTTCGTATTGCCTTTGGGCCTCCCTTCTTACCTGTGCATATTCATTTCTGGCTCTACGACTGCTCTCCTTATTCTCTTGGGTCCTTTGCCTTCTTTACTTCTTCCATTCCCTAGCACACTTGGTTTTGGCCTCTCTGCACCTTTGAGTGAACCACGGGCTCATCCTGGCTTTTTTGTTATTCCTGTTACCCTTGAGTACAACCCTCTCTTCAGCTCCCTTCCATATTGTTGCCACATATTCCATTATCTCGTCTACTGACTTCCCTGCCAGTTCTCTGTCCCACTGAACCCTGTTCAGGAAGTTCTTCATGCATACATGGTCCCCTTTCTTGTAATTTGGCTTCATTCGTCCGGCCCTTCCTGCTTCCCCCTTCACAAGTAGCTCTACTATGTATTCGAAGCTCAGAACCACATGATCACTGGCCCCAAGGGGTCTTTCATATGTGATGTCCTCAGTATCTGCACTACTCAAGGTGAATACTAGGTTCAGTCTTGTTGGTTCATCCTATTCTCTCTCTCTCTGATAGTGTCCCTTACGTGTTGGTACATGAGGTTTTCCAGTACCACTTCCAACATCTTACCACTCCACGTTTCTTGGCCCCCATGTGGCTTCAAGTTCTCCCAAACGATATCCTTGTGGTTGGAGTCACCCATGATCAATTGCTTTGCCCTGCTCGCATGAGCCCTTCTGGCCACTTCAGCCAATGTGTCAACCATCGCCCTATTATTCTCATCATACTCTTGACTTGGCCTCCTGCTGTTCTGTGGTGGGTTATACATCAATGCAATTACCACCTTGGGACCTCCAGACTGAAGCGTTCCTATTATGTAGTCTCTTGCTTCTCCTCTGTCTCCTCTTTCCAGCTCATCAAAATCCCATTGGTTTTTGATCAGCAGTGCCACACCTCCACACCCTCTGTTCCCTCTGTTTCTTCTCAGGCTCTGATATCCCGTTGGAAAGATGGCATCTATTATCATGCCTGTGAACTTGGTTGCTGTGAGGGCTATGATGTCCGGTGATGCCTCTTTGACTCTCTCGTTATTCCATCAGCTTTGGTGTACCATACCTTCAGTTTCCTCTCCAACACTGCGCTTTGGGGGTCTGTAAGGGTGGGGGCCCCTGGCAGTGTGCTGCGGGATTCTACAGCATAGTGTGGGGTGGGGGCTGTGAGTGTGGAGTTGGGGTCCGTGTTGGGATAGCATGTTTGGTTGTGGGGTTCTGGGGATGGTTCTGTGTGTGCTTGCTCTTGTTGCTCTGCCCTGCTCTGGTTGTCCTCTGCTGATTCTGTCCTTGTCTCTCTTTCTAGCCCATTTCGCAATAATGGGTTCAAATTAAATAAGTTTAGATTTCGAAAGGATATAGGAAAGTATTGGTTTGGAAACAGGGTAGTTGACGAGTGGAACAGTCTGCCTAGTACGGTTATTGAAGCTAAAACGTTGGGTGGTTTTAAATTTAGGTTAGGTAAACACATGAGTGAGAGGGCTTGGATTTGAGTGAGACTTGTATAATGAGTAAATAGAATCATCAAAACTTATTTCTTGGGTAGCACTGAAAATTGGGTTGGGCAAATATTTTGTTAGTGTGAAGGATTGTTAAGGACCTGCCTACTATGGGCCAACAGGCCTGCTGCAGTGTTCCTCCTTTCTTATGTTCTTATGTCCTCTCCCTCAGCTGCTGTCGTTCTGATTTTGTTCTGTCTTGGTCTAGGAACACCATCTCGTATATTGACGATTCCGTCAACCGTGGTTTCTCTTACAGGATCCTGTTCAGCACTGTTTCTGTTCTGAAAATCAGCTTGATCGGCTGTTTTCTCACATTCAAGTACCCTCCTTTTCTCTGAAAATTTACAATCTGACATGTCTTTTTCGCCTATTTCTTTGATGATGTTCTCACTCTCCTGTCTTTCTGCCTGCCGTCTTTCAATATGTGTCCTTCCCTCACTCTCCTGAAGCCCATGAATATACACTGACTTAGCCCTCTCCTCTTCCCATTGCCTTTCCCTCTGTGTCTCTGGTTTCTGTTTGTACATGGGCCATTTTCTCCCTTATTTTTTTCGTGTAGCTCTTAGTGGCATGGTCGTGCCTCTGCACCTTCATCCCCATCCCCCACCTCCATCCCCACTCCCAGCTGCTCTCCTCCTCCATTCCTGGGCCCTGCTTAATGAGCTGATAGGGCCTTAGCATAAGTTATGTCTTTTTCCTTCCCGTTGGAACCCTCGTTCAGTAGGTGAGTGTGTATGTGTGTGTGTGTGTGTGTGTGTGTGTGTGTGTGTGTGTGTGTGTGTGTGTGTGTGTGTGGTGTGTGTGTGTGTGTGTGTGTGTGTGTGTGTGTGTGCTTTAAGTGATTTCAACCGGACAGTAAGTAGTAATCTCTCTGTTGTTTTATCCAGAGATATTAATTGACAAGGTGAAGCTTATATGTTTTATTAGTTAATGAAGCAGAGTGTGCGTAACTGACACATGTGTTGCATATTAAGCACCAAGGACGGCGACCATTCACTACAACACACCTGAAGGTCGCTCACACCTCTACAACACAACTGTCATCAAAGATCTGTTAAGTTATACCATGAATTAAGGAAAGATCCTGGACTTCACCTCACGAAACAGACAAAGCAAATGTGATAGTAATTATTGACAAGATAGATTATAGTGGATAAATGAACTTCTTATTAGAAGACGGGGGAACTTACGTGCCTCTAAAGACAGCGTAATCAGGCTGACAGCCGGCTCTCTGTCTGTTAATATAAGCTTTCAGCAAGCCTATGTCATCCACTGACCGTGTGGATGATGCAGCACAAGTGGTGGAGGATCGTTCCTCCTTTCCTGTGAAGGCTTCCACCAGCTTCGGCAGTTGCTGCAAGGTCAACCAGGCTGTTGCTACTGACCTCACCTACAAGAGCGTCACGGTGTGGCTAGAGGATGGAACCAGTCTAGCCTGCTAGATGACCGTGGGAATCAACAAGACTGACAGGCATGACCTGTTAATGACATGTGACTGGATAATAATTACCAGGTGTTCTGACGTGTGACTGGTTAGTTACCAGGTGTTCTGAGGTGTGACTGGTTAGTTATTAGGTGTTATTATTATTATTATTATTATTATTATTATTATTATTAATATTATTATTAAGGTGCCACCTCGTCTAACCCCCAAAACAAGATCAGTAGTGTAGGTCACTGGCTCACCTTCCACCCCCCCCCCTAACCACTTCCCAAAAACCGGTTCTTTCCTCCCCCTCCTCCCCCTCCCACAAATTCCACCTCCACTGAGGTCATCCTCAGCGTCAACACATCTTCTGTAGAACACCATCTCATTGAACACAGTGGCTCCTAACTACCACACAGAGCACCACTCAGAACGCAATGGTTCCTTACTATCACACAGAACACCACCTCATAGAACATAATGGCTGCCACTAACATTCAGAACACAATGGTTGCCACTAACACACAGAACACCATGCCAGGTAACAAAACACCATGCTAGGCAACATAACACCATGCTAGGTAACAGAACACCGTTGGGAGATAAGAAAAGCGCCATCCAGAAGCTCAGAACACCTCCGTCTAGCAGAACACAATAGAGGAGCATTGAGCGCCACAGTGGAGCACAGAATACTATAGTGGAGCACTGAACACCACTATAGCGGATCATAGAATACCACCACAGTTGAGCAAAGAATTCCACCACAGTGGAGCACAAAACACTCCCACAGTGGAGCACAAAACACTCCCACAGTGGAGCACAGAACACCACCATAGTGGAACACAGAACACCACCACAGTGGAACACGTAACACGTCATATAGAGGTGTTCTAAGATCATAGAGCACAGTGTAAAGCCCAAAGAACACTGCTAAGATCACAGAAAACTGTTACGATCACAGAACATTGCTAAGATCACAGAGCACCGTGCTAAAACCAGAGCACTACCAAGATCACAAAATACTGCTAAGACCACACAATACTGCTAAGATCACTGAGCACTGCTAAGATCACGGAGCACCGCTAAGATCACGGAGCACTGCTAAGATCACAGAGCACTGCTAAGATCACGGAGCACTGCTAAGATCACAGAGCAATGCTAAGATCACGGAGCACTGCTAAGATCACGGAGCACTGCTAAGATCACAGAGCACTGCTAAGATCACGGAGCACTGCTAAGATCACAGAGCACTGCTAAGATCACAGAGCACTGCTAAGATCACAGAGCACTGCTAAGATCACAGAGCACTGCTAAGATCACAGAGCAATGCTAAGATCACGGAGCACTGCTAAGATCACAGAGCAATGCTAAGATCACAGAGCAATGCTAAGATCACGGAGCACTGCTAAGATCACGGAGCACTGCTAAGATCACAGAGCAATGCTAAGATCACAGAGCAATGCTAAGATCACAGAGCACTGCTAAGTTCACGAAGCACTGCTAAGATCACAGAGTAATGATAAGATCACAGAGCAATGCTAAGATCACAGAGCAATGCTAAGATCACAGAGCACCGCAAAGATCACGGAGCACTGCTAAGATCATAGAGCAATGCTAAGATCACAGAGCAATGCTAAGATCACGGAGCACTGCTAAGATCACGGAGCACTGCTAAGATTACAGAGCAATGCTAAGATCACGGAGCACTGCTAAGATCACGGAGCACTGCTAAGATCACAGAGCAATGCTAAGATCACGGAGCACTGCTAAGATCACAGAGCAATGCTAAGATCACAGAGCATTGCTAAGATCACAGAGCACTGCTAAGTTCACGAAGCACTGCTAAGATCACAGAGTAATGGTAAGATCACAGAGCAATGCTAAGATCACAGAGCAATGCTAAGATCACAGAGCACCGCAAAGATCACGGAGCACTGCTAAGATCACGAAGCACTGCTAAGATCACAGAGCAATGCTAAGATCACAGAGCACTGCTAAGATCACGGGGCACTGCTAAGACCACGGAGCACTGCTAAGATCACGGAGCACTGCTAAGCTCACGGAGCACTGCTAAGATCACAGAGCACTGCTAAGATCACAGATCACCGCACTTATATCACATATCACTATGCTAAGATCACAGAACATATCGCTAAGATCACAAAAAACGCGCTAGGATCCCATCTCATCGTTAAGATCACAAGAGAAGCGTTAATACCGTGAACCACCGCTGAGCTCACAGCGCAAAGATCACACACTCTCCAAGATCACTACTAAGCTCACACACTCTCTCCACCTCTAAGATCACTGCTAAGATCACACACTCTCCACTTCTAGGATCACTGCTAAGATCACACACTCTCCACTTCTAGGATCACTGCTAAGATCACACACTCTATACCTCTAATAACACTCCTAAGGTCACACATTCTCCACTTCTAAGATCACTGCTAAGATCACACACTCTCCACCTCTAGGATCAATGCTAAGATCACACAGTTTCCACTTCTAGGATCACTGCTAAAATCACACACAGGATCGCTGCTAAGATCACACACTCTATACCTCTAATATCATTCCTAAGGTCACACATTCTCCAACTCTAAGATCAGTGCTAAGATCACACACTCTCCACCTCTAGGATCAATGCTAAGATCACACAGTTTCCACTTCTAGGATCACTGCTAAGATCACTGCCAAGGCCACACACTACCCACCTCTAAGATCACTGCTAAGATCGCCACCAAGATCACACACTCTTCACCTCTAAAATCACTGCTAAGATCACACTCTCCAGCCCACTCACCCACACTAGATATGACACACTACGTATCCTAGGATGGTCGTCTCTCAACCCTTTAGCAAAGTTAACGTCCTTCGTCGCTCCAGCTGGGAAACAAACGCTCCCAGCACCCGCTGCCATGTATATATAGCTTAGTGCACCTCCCCCCTGCCCGCCCTCCCTACCCCTCCCCGCCCTCCCTACCCCTCCCCGCCCTCCCTACCCCTCCCCCTACATCTCCCCCTCCCCCTACCCCTACCCGATCCCCCATATTCATCTCCACTCCTTCCCCCTCCCTCATCCCCCTCATCCCCCCCTCTCTCTCTCTCTCCTATGATTCCTGCATCCCCCTACCCCTCCCCGGTCTCCCCGGTCTCCCCGGCCTCCCCGGCCTCCCTCCCCACATTCCCCTTCCTTCCCCCATTTCCCCCGTCAACACCTTTGGTACCTACTTACTGCTAGGTGAACAGTGACAGCAGGTGTCAAGAGACTAACACCCAGGTACCTACTTACTGCTAAGTGAACAGTGACAGCAGGTGTCAGGAGACTAACACCCAGGTACCTACTTACTGCTAGGTGAACAGTGGCAGCAGGTGTTAGGAGACTAACACCCAGGTACCTGGTTACTGCTAGGTGAACAGTGACAGCAGGTGTCAGGAGACTAACACCCAGGTACCTACTTACTGCTAGGTGAACAGTGACAGCAGATGACAGGAGACTAACACCCAGGTACCTATTTACTGCTAGGTGAACAGTGACAGCAGGTGTCAAGAGACTAACACCCAGGTACCTACTTACTGCTAGGTGAACAGTGACAGCAGGTGTCAGGAGACTGACACCCAGGTATCTACTCACTGCTAGGTAAGCAGTGACAGCAGGTGACAGGGGACTAACACCCAGGTACCTACTTACTGCTAGGTTAACAGTGGCAGCATGTGTCAGGAGACTAACACCCAGGTACCTACTTGCTGTTAGGTGAAGAGTGACAGCAGGTGACAGGAAACTAACACCCAGGTACCTACTTACTGCTAGGTGAACAGTGACAGCAGGTGACAGGAGACTATCACCCAGGTACCTACTTACTGCTAGGTGAACAGTGACAGCAGGTGTCAGGAGACTAACACCCAGGTACCTACTTACTGCTAGGTGAACAGTGACAGCAGGTGTCAGGAGACTAACACCCAGGTACCTACTTGCTGTTAGGTGAAGAGTGACAGCAGGTGACATGAAACTAACACCCAGGTACCTACTTACTGCTAGGTGAAGAGTGACAGCAGGTGTCAGGAGACTAACGCCCAGGTACCTACTTACTGCTAGGTGAACAGTGACAACAGGTGACAAGAGACTAACACCCAAGTACCTACTTACTGCTAGGTGAACAGTGACAGCCGGTGACAGGAGACTAACACCCAGGTACCTACTTACTGCTAGGTGAACAGTGACAGCAGGTGACAGGAGACTAACACCCAGGTACCTACTTACTGTTAGGTGAAGAGTGACAGCAGGTGTCAGGAGACTAACACCCAGGTACCTATTTACTGCTAGGTGAAGAGTGACAGCATGTGTCAGGAGACTAACATCCAGGTACCTACTTACTTCTGGGTGAAGAGTGACAGCAGGTGTCAGGAGACTAACAGCCAGGTACCTACTTACTGCTAGGTGAACAGTGACAGCAGGTGTCAGGAGACTAACACCCAGGTACCTACTTACTGCTAGGTGAACAGTGACAGCAGGTGACAGGAAACTAACACCCAGGTACCTACTTACTGCTAGGTGAACAGTGACAGCAGGTGACAGGAGACTAACACCCAGGTACCTACTTACTGCTAGGTGAACAGTGACAGCAGGTGTCAGGAGACTAACACCCAGGTACCTACTTGCTGTTAGGTGAAGAGTGACAGCAGGTGTCAGGAGACTAACACCCAGGTACCTACTTGCTGTTAGGTGAAGAGTGACAGCAGGTGTCAGGAGACTAACACCCAGGTACCTACTTGCTGTTAGGTGAAGAGTGACAGCAGGTGTCAGGAGACTAACACCCAGGTACCTACTTGCTGTTAGGTGAAGAGTGACAGCAGGTGTCAGGAGACTAACACCCAGGTACCTACTTGCTGTTAGGTGAAGAGTGACAGCAGGTGTCAGGAGACTAACACCCAGGTACCTACTTGCTGTTAGGTGAAGAGTGACAGCAGGTGTCAGGAGACTAACACCCAGGTACCTACTTGCTGTTAGGTGAAGAGTGACAGCAGGTGTCAGGAGACTAACACCCAGGTACCTACTTGCTGTTAGGTGAAGAGTGACAGCAGGTGTCAGGAGACTAACACCCAGGTACCTACTTGGTGTTAGGTGAAGAGTGACAGCAGGTGTCAAGATGTCCCACACAACAGCCTAGTACTAACAACATAACATTTAAAACGCTTGTGTAATATTTGGGTGTCTGTAAACAGGGAAGGTATCGCCAGGCAGTGGATTCTTCAGTCTAATGTAGAGAAACAGTGGAAGTTGAGGAGGAGGTTGAAGGAATCAGTCCCTGAGCCCGGAGTTGTTGTGTTCACTCCATCTATCAAGACTGACGCTCATTGAAGATTTATGCTTAATCAAGTTCTCACAACACTGTGTTTCTTAACCGTGTTCTCACAACACTGTGTTCCTTAACCATGTTCTCACAACACTGTGTTTCTTAACCGTGTTCTCACAACACTGTGTTCCTTAACCGTGTTCTCACAACACTGTGTTCCTTAACCATGTTCTCACAACACTGTGTTTCTTAACCGTGTTCTCACAACACTGTGTTCCTTAACCGTGTTCTCACAACACTGTGTTCCTTAACCGTGTTCTCACAACACTGTGTTTCTTAACCGTGTTCTCACAACACTGTGTTTCTTAACCATGTTCTCACAACACTGTGTTCCTTAACCATGTTCTCACAACACTGTGTTCCTTAACCATGTTCTCACAACACTGTGTTCCTTAACCATGTTCTCACAACACTGTGTTTCTTAACCGTGTTCTCACAACACTGTGTTTCTTAACCGTGTTGTCACAACACTGTGTTTCTTAACCGTGTTGTCACAACACTGTGTTCCTTAACCATGTTCTCACAACACTGTGTTCCTTAACCGTGTTCTCACAACACTGTGTTCCTTAACCGTGTTCTCACAACACTGTGTTCCTTAACCGTGTTCTCACAACACTGTGTTCCTTAACCGTGTTCTCACAACACTGTGTTCCTTAACCGTGTTCTCACAACACTGTGTTTCTTAACCGTGTTCTCACAACACTGTGTTCCTTAACCGTGTTCTCACAACACTGTGTTTCTTAACCGTGTTCTTGCAACACTGTGTTTCTTAACCGTGTTCTTGCAACACTGTGTTTCTTAACCGTGTTCTTGCAACACTGTGTTTCTTAACCGTGTTCTTGCAACACTGTGTTTCTTAACCGTGTTCTTGCAACACTGTTCCAACAACCATTGAAGATTTAGATTTTGCCACCGAAGTGGCTAGTTTATTGCCACCGCACATCCATCCTGTGGATGGTAGCGCAAGAACATGTGGATTCACAAAAGGTCTAATAACTAGGCCCCAAAAGGGTTAAGAGGACTATATTTGGATTTACATCTACAGTTCACTTATCTGTTACAAGCAAATTTAAGAAATTTGCTTAAAACATGTGGTATCTTATTTTCATCAATAAGATATCTTGACATGTCACATAGGTTATTATACTGTCTATCTCTGTATTCCTCAATAAGTGGACAATTAAGCACATAGTGTTCAAGACAGTGACCATATGCCTGATGTAATTTGCAATTAGTTTGATCATCATCTGTGTGTCTGCCAAACTGCCAGAAGTACTTGTAACCAAGCCTAAGCCTGGCCACTACAACATCAGTCAGTCTGTTCACATTGCAAGTTGCTCCATAAACATACTTATCTACGTTCATGTTATCATAGTGGGTTATAGATCTACTCAGGCTTCTAACTGCATTCCTATAACAATCATTTTCATTATTTACTTCTCTCCTAATATTTATTCCTAATGCTAGACACAGTTATACCAAAGTTATATTCTACATTCTCCTTCTGGGTACTCTTCTTGGCTAACATATCAACTTTATCATGAAGGAGTAATCCAATGTGTGATGGGATCCATAGCAATTGTACATTAATTCACTTTTCCCGGATTTTTTAGTATCTATACCTGGTTTTTCCAATGAGCATGTTGTAGGAGTCATTTTGTGAGTCAAGAGCCTACAATGATGGCAGAGTCAAGCTCAGTGTCATAAGCTAGTTTTAGCGCCATTAGGATACAAATAATAAAGTTTACAGTGTAGACACCTAGGTGTTAATGTTTATACCTAACTCAGCAAAGTTGCCACCGTTTTTAACACGTGAGGTGACAACAAGAACAACCATTGAAGCACCTCAGAGACCGTAACATAGTTCCAGGGAGGGTCCAACACAGTGGAACCCAAGGAACACACCAGCAACACCTACACAACCAAGAGATTAATGAACACAGTCCTGGACAGCAACACAGTCCTGGACAGCAACACAGTTCTGGACAGCAACACAGTCCTGGACAAGAACGCAGTCCTGGACAGGAACAGAGTCTGGGACAGAAATATAGTTCTGGACAGGAACACAGACTGAGACAAGAAAACAGTCTTGGACAGGAACACAGTCCTGGGCAGGAACACAGTCTTGGACAGGAACACAGTCCTGGACAAGAACACAGTCCTGGACAGGAACGCAGTCTTGGACAGGAACACAGTCCTGGACAGAAACACAGTCCTCGACAGGAACAGTCTTAGACAGGAACACAGCCCTGGAAAGGAACATAGTCTGGGACAAGAACAGAGTCCTGGCCAGGAACACAGACTGGGACAGAAACACAGTCCTCGACAGGAACGCAGTCCTGGACAGGAACACATTCTGGGACAGGAATACAGTGCTGGTCGGGAACACAGTCCTGAACAGGAACACAGTCTGGGACAGGAACACAGTCTGGGACAGGAACACAGTCCTGGACAGGAACACAGTCCTGGACAGGAACACAGTCTGCGACAGGAACACAGTCCTGGACAGGAACACAGCCCTGGACAGGAACACAGTGTGCTACA